AAACAATACACTAAAAGAAATCTCTGTGTTTTCAAGGTCTCATCTTCAAGAAAAGAGCATAAAGAACCATCTGCATTCACACACATTCAGGAAACAAGAAGATAATTAAAGATCTCAAAATTTCATGGTGATATCATTTCTAAAAAATAGAGCAAAAGGAGTTATTCCTGTTGTGGGCTCAACGTTAGAGTAGAAAAGGAAAAGCAAAATTTTAGAATAATAATAATTTGTGCTTTACAAATCAATTTAATGATTTTACTGAATATCTATTGTTAATAGATATAGCTATTTAGAATATTTTTAATCTGTGACAGACATATATGAAAAGAACTACAAACTGGTTAACTATTAAAAAAACAAGAGGAACTCTTTTTCCTTTAGGACAGGAAGTAGGTAAGTACTATAAGAGAACAGAAAAAGAGAAAAATAATTTCTATTGAGAGAAAAAAAAGGAAGGAGTCAAGAAGCAGGTAATATTTCAGTTGAGCCTTGAGGAATGAGTTATGGAAAAATGTGTCTAATGTTATAGGGAGTAACATTGGAAACACAGAAACATGAAAATGCATGGCATGGATAAAATAGCCACAGTCAAAAAGATTTTGAAAATTAATAAGTATAAATTAACAAAGTTCAGATAAACATCTAAATATCAAGTGGGTGAAGGATGAAAAAGTCACATGGGACAGGAAGACAGTTTCACACCCAGTTACAAGGGTACCTCAGTTTGACTCAGGTTCCTATGCTGACTTTCTGACCACAGCATGGAAAGGATGGGCATTCTGAGTATGAGTATTGTTTGGCTTCTGAGCTCACATCTGGGTTATCAGATGAGATAACCCAAGGGGATGAGTTAAGAATTGCTCACATCAAGCACAAAGCAACCAGTTAATCAACCTGGAATGAAAGAAACTCAAATGTCTGAACTGATTCCACACCTCCTGCCCCAAATGGAAGTACTTTTTTCTCATTATAAAAGTAATAAACACTAGTTTTTCATATCTGAAAGACAAGTTTAAGAAAGAAAATAAAAATTAGTAGAGTTAGCCATTGCTTACAAGTTGAAATATGCTGATTTTTCTAGACTTTTTTCTACTTATACACACATATTGTAAAAAACTGAAATTACATTCTACTTTCTTTTTCTTAACCACTTTTTTTTGTGTGCTTCTTTTAACAACATGATGTAGTTTTATCATCAGTTTTAATGGCTGTGCAGTAGATCGTTATTTGATTGAACCATTATTAACCCTTAGTTTACTGCTAGGATTCATATGTCCAGTTTTAATTTTGAGTTTCTCTGTTGAGCAAGTCATGAAAAACAAGAAAAGACTTAGAAACTGTTTCAAACCAGGAGCAGGGAAACATGACAACTAAATGTAATGTGGGACCCTGAATTGGATCCTGGAAATGAAAAAAGACATTGATGGGAAACTGGTGAATTACAGATTAGTTAATAGTAATGTACTAACACTGGTTCTCAGTTTGTCAAAGCACCATTGTAATTTAAGATGTTACCAATGGGGGAAACTGGGTGAGAAGTATAAAAAAAGTGTGCACTATCTTTGCAACTTTCCTATATTTAAAAATTGTTCAAAAATAGAAATTGTTATTTAAAAACAAAATTAACCTTTAAAATGGAGTCATAAACCCCCCAAACTCACATAGATATCCTTTTGGAAAATGTTAACCTTCTAAATTTAACAATAATTTATTCCATTTTAAAAGTCTGTTAAATAAAATTTAAAAACAAAGCTGAGGGAAAGAAAACTAACAATTTCTTATTGGAGACTAAATCATGGATTAATCTGAGACATGATGTACTGTATATTAATAGTCCTAGAACTATGCATATTAAACTAGGAACATTTGACTGACATTATTAGAAATACTTCGTAATACATTAAAAAACCTCATTCTGCCAATTTAATATTCCGTCAAGTTTCACTGTACACTGTGTTCTGTGGTTCAATACACTTTACTGGGAAAGAGGGGACATATTTAATCCACTAGTGATATCATAATAGAGAAACCAATGTTTATAAATGTACACCTTCCATGTATATGACACTTCTGAGGGGAAGATACTTTGCCTCTAACTTGATAGATAAAAAACAAATGAATAGTGAAAGGCTGTTAAGAAAGGTTATCCAAAACTTGGGCATAGGGCCAAAAGGTGCACAGAATGTCCTCTCAATGGGACACAGACGCACTCAGAGATTATTTAATTACTTAGGGGAAGGTACTTTGCTCAATTATTTTATTTACTACTAGAGGCCTGGTGCACAAATTCGTGCACAGATGGGGTCCCTCAGCCTGGACGGCGATTGGGGCCTATTAGGGCCCAGCTGGCAGGGAGGAGGGACTGTGGGGGGAGAAATGGGGCCGCAAGAGGTTGGCTCTGGGAGCACATTGACAACCAGGGGGCAGCTCCTGCATTGAGCGTCTGCCCCCTGGTGGTCAGTGCGCATCATAGTGACTGGTCAACCGGTCATTCCAATCATTATGCCATAACAGTAGCAGATTGAATTAAATATCCAGATTAACTAAAGTTATGCTAACTTATAGATTTTGTCCAGTAAAATTGTATATAATTTCTGTCAGGTATAAGACAAACTTCCAAAGGTCAGGGCTTATTGGTCTGTGAAATATTAGCCAATTTGTAACTAACCAGGCAATCTTATTTTTAAAATTCTTTTATTAAATTATTTATGAATACACAACTCTTCAAACGCTCTTTGAACTAGCTTTACTATTTTACTTTTTCCCTCAGTAATTAATTAATTGAATAAAATATTTGATACATTGTAACTTTGTATTTATACTAGAGGCCCGATGCACGAAATTCATGCAAGAGTAGGCCTTCTTTCTCCCGGCTGCCAGCACCGACTTCCCTCTGGCACCCGGGACCCAGGCTTGCCTCATAACCTCAGCTTCGTCTGGAAGGATGTCTGGTTTAATTAGCTTATTATGCTTTTATTATTATAGATAAGTCCTATTTTATTTTTTATAAATATATTTTATTGATTTTGTACAGAGAGGAAGAGAGAGAGATAGAGAGCTAGAAACATCGATGAGAGTCATCGATTAGCTGCCTCTTGCACACCCCCTACTGGGGATATGCTCGCAACCAAGGTACATGCCCTTGACCGGAATCGAACCCGGGACCCTTCAGTCCCCAAGCTGATGCTCTATCCATTGAGCCAAACCGGTCTCGGCCTATTTTATTTTTTAAAACTATACTTTGGCAGGAATAAGAAAATGGTTAATTATTGGAGGCAAGGATAAATATGAAGTAAAGACAGTATTTTCTATAAGTGATGCTGGGAAAACTGGACAGATACATGAAAAAAATGAAATTGGACCACTTTCTTAGACATACAAAAAGAAACTCAAAATGAAGACTTAAATGTGAGATCTGAAACCACAAAAACTCCTAAAAGAAAACATAGACAGTAAACCCTCTAACATCACTCTTAGCAATAACTTTTTGGATATGTCTTCTTTTTTCTTTTAATTTTTTTTTATTAAGGTATTATGTGTACATATCAATACTTTACCAATCCCCCCATCCCCCACTCTTATACATGCCCTCCCTCCCCAGAGTTTTTCGTCCATTGGTTATATCCACCATGACTTTCCATCCTGACTATATAAAGTATGTGACAAGATAAACATGAACACTATTCTATTATATATCCCCTGAGTTTCCCCAACGGTACATTTTAAGAACAATGGGAAACACATAAAGATTCCCTGGTTTTCACTGGAGCCATTTCTTCAGTCTGCAGGCCTATGCTCTATCCACTGAACCAAACCAGCTAGGGCTTCAAGAGATTAAAAAAAAAAAAAATGTTTTTATTGATTTCAGAGAGGAAAGAGGGATAGAAACATCAATAAGAGAGAATCATTGACCAGATGCCTCATGCACGCTCCCTACTGGAGATTGTGCCTAAAACCAGGCATGTGCTCTGACATGGCATCGAACTGTGACCTCCTGGTTCAATGGTTGATGTTCAACCACTGACCCACAGTGGTCAGGCTCTTCAAGAGATTTTTGAGCCTCAATCTCTATATGAGAAAACAAAGATATATAAAAGAAACCCAGTACTTATTAAATCAGCATTAAGAAATTAGGCACAGAATCACAGAATATAATCTAAGACTTAAACAGGACTTTAAAAATCTTTCTGTCCAATCCTGTTTTAAGGAAAAGGAAAGAGTATAGTGATTTTCCAGAGATTTGAGAATCGCTAAAATTAATATGACCTGCCCTTCTAAGACTTTCTAATTTGTCATATGTCTCTCATAATGGTTTTGTGGGTTAATTTCTTTATTAAGCCTAATTATTATTAAAACCAATTATTAAAAATATTTTTTTCTATTTGTTTCAAGTACCTCTGTTTTGTTTGTTTTTTTAATGAAATGGTTATTTCCTGGTTGAGGTGGGAATTATAACTTTATTTTCATAATATGATTAATTACATTTAAATTTTCACTATTTAAAAAAAAAAAAAAAGATTGGTAAGCCGAAATCAGTGTGGCTCAGTGGATAGAGTGTCGGTCAGCAGACTGAAGGGTCCCAGGTTCGATTCCGGTCAAGGGCATGTACCTTGGTTGCGGGTGTGAAGGAAGTAGCTGATCGATGATTCTCTCTCATTGACGTTTCTAACTTTCTATCCCTCTCCCTCTCTGTAAAAACTCAATAAAATAAAAAATAAAAAGATTGGTAAAATCTTAAAAAATCAACTTCATATTTCTAGTGGTACATTTTTCACTAAAAACAAAAGTCTAGACTAACATGAATTTTTTTTTTTTTTTTTTTTTTTTTTTTAGTAAGAAACTTGGGTATTGTCATGTCATTCCAAATGTACTTTTGGTGAATCCAAGTGGAGTAATTTCAATTTTTAGGTTTTAACATTGGGAAAGAAAGTATTATTTCACTCCCACTCAACCCATAATCAGTAGTCCATTAAAACAAAAGAGAAAAGAAAATTCTGTACCCTGACATCACTTCTAGGTGAAGTTGTCCCGAGACAGTTAAGAAAGCAGGAACATCAAAAAAATTCTCTTCAGGTACCTTTATTTTGCTTGAAGGCTGCAAATGAAAACATAAGCCACAAAAAGCTATTACATGCTTTGCTCTGATTTTCACACTTACACATATGCCACAACTAAAAATAATAACACAATTAAACAATGTGAGGCCAGTTCATGCTCATAAAAATAAAGATCATTCTCAGTACACACCTAACAGAAAAAATGTCTGCTTGAGAAATGCTTAAGTCAATGAAGTTTACTCCATATTTTCAAAACACAATAACCAAAGGACAAAGTACTTTTGTCACAAAATAGAAATTTTTAAATGTGAATAATTATAGAATCTCTTAAAATTTTGATGCATGATTAAGATTTAATTTTTTAAAGGGATGTAGGGTCATTATTCCATTTGAAATGGGTAGCAAAAAAGCTTTTATAACAGTCAAGGTAAAAAAATTAGAGTTCAAACACAATTTAAATAGTATAACCAACAAAGCTTCTGGATCAAGTTATGACTATTACACGTTAATTTTTTTGAAAGAAGCTAATTTACCAACCTTTGTGTTTCAAATTGTGCATTTATTTGAAAATGTTATATTGCAATGGTACAGTTACTATAAACGTGTAATAAAGTCAATTTTAAATATACAATAGAGGATGGAAGACTCCTTTTAAGAGAATTATAGAAACACATGGAATGAAGGTATCTTATTCAATACCACTGGTTGTTCTAAAAATACTACATGTCATGTACAGGTATGAATGTGCATTAATGAGAAATCCAGTTTAAAAATTACCAATTGAAATCATTCCCTTATTCTGTAGTTGCCTATTACTTTTCAATCCTACTTTGATATTGGTTTTAAATGTCCTATCATTGCTTTTTAAATAATAATAATATAATGATATTACATGTATCAAATTTTATATACTTTTACTAATACTTATCAGTTATTTTTTTATTACATTTATTGGGGTGACTGGTTAATAAAATTATATAGGTTTCAAGTATACTATTTTTGTTGTTAATCCTCAATTGAGAATATTTTCCCATTGATTTTATTTATTTATTTTTTTTTAAGAGAGAGTGGAAGAGAGGGTGGAAGAGACATCGATGTGAGAGAGATACATCACCTGGTTGCCTCCCACACGCACCCTGGCCTGAGCCTGCAACCAAGGTCCGTGTCCTTACCAGAATCAAACCTGAGCCACACTAGCCAAGGCTAACTTATATTTAAATAGATACAAACACATTAGTACTTCATTATGCCTTCCTATGTCATGCATACTATTTTACATACTGAAATTCATATTTTTTAATGAATTACTTCCTTTAGTTCTCATTTATATTACAATGAATGCATTACATTAATTTAAAAAAAACACCTGTGTATTAAGTTATATTACAAATACATTTTATTTCAGGATATTAAAAGGAAATTATAAAACATTTGTTTTACTAAATAATTGCTCTATGGTAACTGAAATAAGATAGTCGGAGAAAGATAAATATCACATGATCTCACTCATTTGTGGGATATAATGATCAACATAATTTGAAGAACAAGAATAGATTGATCTAGAGACAAACAGTAGGGGAGGGGGGGTTAGAGAGCAACTAAAGGACTTGTATACATGCATATCAGCATAACCATTGGATATAGACACTGGGGCGCTAGGGGCTTTCTGGAGTGGGAATGCTGGGGAGGGGTTCCAATCTGGTAAAAAGGAGACAAATGCAAAACTTTAAAGTTTAAAGTTTAGACAATAAAAAAAAATGCATTTCATATAAATAGTAAAAAAAAAAAAAAAAAAGTAATTGCTGAGAGTTGTGCCAGCAAAAATGGTGGGATAGGTGGTTCTGAAGATCTGTTCTTCAATAGAGAAAAACTGAAATAATGAGTTGAAACCATCAGAATCAACTATAGGAACTCAAATAGTCAAAGGTTTATAGTAAGCAAACAAATGCTGAATGGAGAGGAAACTTTAAAATGGTAGACTCCACTCAACAACAGCAGGTTGCACACTCAGTGTTCAAGGAACACTGTCCAGGGTACACCACATGCTAGGACAGAGTACAAGCCTCAATAAGTTTAAAAGATTGAAATCATGCATATTATATTTTTTGACTAGAATAGAATGAAACTAGAAATGTAAAATGGTGCATTACTTGGTATAACAATTTTGGTGGTTCCTTATAAAATAAAGAATAACTAATAACATACTAATTATACTCCTAAGTAGATACCTAAAAGAATTAAACCTAGGAACTCAAATAAATACTTGTACATTAATGCTTACAACAGCACTACTCACAGTTGCCAATAGTCAAAGGTAGAAAAAACTCATATGTCCAACAACAGGTAAATAGATAAACAAAATGTAATATATCTAAACAATGGAATATTCAGCCATCAGATAAAAATCTTATGCTAAAACATGGATAAATCTTAAAAACATTATACTAAGTAAAAGAGAGCCACAAAAAGCCTCATGTTGTATGATACTATTTATATGAAATATTTAGGACAGATATATCCATAGAGACTGACTAGTGAGAAATGGCAAGTGATTACTTATCGGGCATAGGGTTTTCTTTTGAGGTAATGAAAATGTTTTGGAACTTGATAGAGGTGGTAGTCACATAACACTGTAAATGTACTAAATGCCATGGAAATTTACCCTGTAAAATAGATAATTTTATGTTACAGGAATTTTACCTCAATTTTTAAGAAAGATATATAAACAAGTAATTATAGGATCTGACAGGGTAAAAAACTTCTAACATAGGATTATAAATTTAAGATTCGAAATCTTAGATACTTCTGTTAGTAATGAAGAAAGAATAAAATATATGAATTAAGCATCCAACTTTGTGACCTTGCCAATTGTGATAAATTGAAAAGTTGACAAATCTGACTACATTAAAATGACAAATTTGACATTATTAAAATTTAATAATGGCAGATACAGACAAAGTTAGCGGAAGAATGACAGATTTACAAATAAAACATTTCAACACCTAAAACTGACAAGTGCTCAATGGACAGAATATATAAGTACCTCCTGCCAAGGAAATAAAAATAAGAAAATAAGTTGCTCCGCAACTGGTCAAGGAATATGATTTCCAGAAAAAGCAGATTTACAGAAAGGGATATTCAAGATGTATAAGGAAACACTCAAATTCACTATGAATAGAGACATGCAAATTAAAGCAAGCATTTTGCCTGGCTGGTGTTGCTCAGTACAGAGCACTGACCCATGCACTGAGGGTCTCGGGTTTGATTCCCTATCAAGGGCATGTACCTGGGTTGTAGTTTGCTTCTGATCAGGGAACGTGTGGGAGGCAACCACCTGGTACTAGACTGTAGTTACTAGAGAGGTCTGTGTTAGCTTAATGGCATTAATGGCTCCAATTTTCCACATCTCTCCACATCTGCACCCCTTGGCATATAACACACTAACTCTGAGCTTGGCCATGTGACTTCTTTGGCCAAGGATAAGGTAACAAAATGGACAAAAATTATAGCTTGAAAAGTGCTTGTGCATTTTCACATTCTTTCCTAAATGATTCCACCACAGAGATCATGCCCTGATTAGCATAATAAAGGAATTTGAGGAATGTCTGGTGAAGGGTCATCTCATGAGGCCATCCTAGACCAGCCAGTTTCTAACCAACCCATCAAATGACCAAGCCCCACCCAGATCAGGACCACCCAAATGAGCTGTAGAAAGAATAAATGGTTTTGCTACAGAGTGATATGATACAAGGGTCTTGCAAAGACCAATAACAACAATGTGCTATGAACGAAAATATATTTATCTCAACTCTACATTCCTAAGGTTAAAAAAATATACATTCTAAAAAGATGTGGTACATTTACAACATGGAATACTAAGTAGCAGTAAAAAAGAAGGATTTCTTACACTTTGAGACAACATGGAGGGACCTGAAATATTATGCTAAGCAAAATAAGCCTGTCAGAGAAAAGTATCAAGTATCACATTATCTCACTCATATGTGGAATCTAATGAACAAAATATACTGGTGAACAAAACAGATCCAGAGACACAGAAGCATGGAACAGACTGACAAATTTCAGAAAGAAGGCGGAGACAGATAAGGTGGGTGGGGAGAGATTAATCAAAGAACTTGTATGCATATATACATAACCCATAGACATAGACAACAGTGTGGCGAAAACCTGGGAGAGGTTGGGGAGCGGTGGCGGGAGTCAATGGGAGAAAAAAGAGGGACATCTAAAATACTTTCAACAATAAAGATAAAAAAAAAATATATATATATATATATGTATATATATATATATATATATATTTATATATATATTTTAAAAATATATATATATACTTTTAGATACACATATTTCCACAAAAACCACCACAGCCAATATACACTAAACACTATGTGCCATGCACTGTGCTTAAGGAGTTTACAAGCAACCCAATGAGGTATTAGTAGCCCCACTTATAGAGGAAGAAGCTGAGACACAGGTTAAAAACTGAACTTGCTTAATGTGAGACAGAACATGAACAAAGTGGTCTGGCTCTAGAAACTCTATCCTTAGCTTCACCGTGATACTGCCACACAATATTTTCAGGAGCCACAAGAAGAGTTAACAATGGTTGATTCTAGGGAGGAAAACTAGATCACTGGGGAACAAAATTAGGATGGAATCCTTCTGTACTGTTAAAAGCTTTCTTTTTAACTATGAACTACATTAGCTATTAAAAGATAAACTTAAAATAGGATTTTTTAAAAAGTTGGATTCTGGCCTGGCCAGTGTTGCTCAGTTGGTTAGAGCATTGTCCCATATGCCGAAAGGTGTGGGTTCAATTCCCAATCAGGGCACATACCCAAGTTGCGGGTTCGATCCCTCTTTGGGGTGCATACTGGAGGCAACAGATCAAAGCTTCTTTCTTACACTGATATCTGTCTGTCTCTCTTTTCCCCTCTCTAAAATCTACAATAAAAAAAAAAAAAGCTGGATTCTGAGGTATTGTCAGCAATTACTCTAAGTAAACAGTATACTGGTTTTA